CGGGTACAGGTTGCTTTTGTTTCCTGTACCCGTGGACCAATAGAGGGCTCGGCCACGCTACAGAGAGGGAGTGACAGGAGGGAGTGCTGAGCACCGCCTGTGCAAAGCCGCAGCCGCCTGAGGATCTCTACAGACCGCTCGGGCGACTGCAGCATGGGGGGGCCGGCGCTCCTGGCGGTGCCCCTTCCCAAGGGGTGCCCTAGGCGGCTGCCTAGTCCGCCTTACAGGTAGCGCCGGCCCTGGCTATAGCATTCAATGCCCTAGTTAGCCTAGAAATCAGTATGTTGCCAATTTTTTGTAGTAGCCAAAGGAGAAGCCTTTGGGTTCAGGTGATCTTCTAGTTTTGGATGTCTTAGCTCCAGTCAGATCCTCCTCTGAGGTGTTTCTGAACATCACATTTTAACCTGCTTTACTTTTTAAAAAGTTCACAAACTATGTCACTAAACATTATTTTTCCAAAGATATATTTAGTATACACTACCTCCAATCACAAAGTTTTAGATGGGCTAAACACTTACAGTCTGTCATGGCCATCCAAGGTTGGATAGTGTCACGGTAGTTTACCCCTACACACAAAAGATTTAGTCCAACAATCGACAGCAGATACAACTTACTGGACCTTTGAATGGCTGGACTCGCCGTATAGCAGAGAATAGACAGAGTCAAGAACAAGCCGAGGTCAAGGGAACAAAGAGACTGCGAGAACAAAAAACTAGCCAAGGTCTGGTACACAGCAGTCAGTAAGCCGGCAAACAAGACAAAACAGGGATAGAGAGATAAACGGAGTCAGATACAAAGCCAAGGTCAAGCACGAAAATCACAACTGAACACAACAAGCGCTAAAGGGAACTTAAACAAACCATGATAGGGCAGGGAGTTAAGAGAGGTAAGTATAAATACCCTAAACTTTACTTTGATTGGCCCCTATCATATCCACACCCCCAAAATGTGAGTGTTTGGGGAATGTGGGATAACAGGAGCCAATAGGAGCACATTTCCTTTTTTGGCTCCCACTGCCCCTTTAAGAGCGTGCCCGAGACGCGCGGCACGCTCTTAGAGTTAGGCGGGACACGTGACCGCCTCTCGCGGTCCATGCCTGCCTTCATTCGAGAGCCGCGCGCGGCGGGAAGAGAGTACCTCGGCCGGCCCCCAGGTAAGGCAAGTACCGCTACAGATAGATAATAGGGAACTTAAATGTCCACATCATCTGGGTGTGAAATATAAAAGATATGAGAGCCAATAGTTGCTACTTACTGCTTGTAATAAATTTGTTTCTTTTGTGTGTTTTTCCATGTTAATTGAAATAAGTATTTTATGTATATTTCTTCTTAAGTAAAAAGCTTGCCAGGTTGATATACGTTTATATCAACCAAAAATACTAATATGCAATCTGACTTATGGTTTCTTCAGGTTTATTCTTACAGTTATGGATACATAATAAAACAACAAAGGATGTTACAGGATAATGAATGTTCAACAGCAGATGTTAATTGCTGGACTCCTGAAGGGAGAGCTAGACTCTACAAAGTTAGAGGACAGCCAGACAAGAACCCAGTGCAGCAAGCAACATCAAGACCTCGTTATCCTTTGTCCACTATTCTATATAATATGACCATAATGACATCAGAATAGAACCCTAGCCACATAAGGACAAGACCCCCAATCCACATTCCAGGCTTCTCATACAAAGAAAGCCTTGTGACTGATACTTTATGTTACTTATGTCAATCCACACATCTATACATAATCAATAGAAACATAGAATATGCAATATTCTACACTGCTATCTTTCAGTAACTCCCTGTCACTTACATGTATTTTGGCAAGTAGTGGCTGGCCAGTAAGAAGTAGAAACAAGATTGTAAATGAGCCATTATCTCAGAATGAATGTACCACTGATCTCTTTATTTAAACATACTATAGTGTGAATCCTATTTGTTTAAGCTTTATTTTGGCTCTTAAGTCCATCATAAAGTAGATAAATCTATATAAAGCCTGTATAGGAACAATGTAATTATTGTTCTCAGATGAGACTATCTAGCTAGAATCCAGAATTATCACCACACCACTGTTTCAACACATTAGTTAGAGAGAGTTCTCTGAGTGGACATCAGAGAAAAATTCAAAAACCATTTTGGTTGAATTTAATTAAATCATGAAATGCAAATATTGTTAAATATTTATTACAGTTATTATATTTCAGCTCATAGCTACTATAAACTTTAAAAATACAAGAAAAGTAAAAGCAGGGTGTGTGCATCACATGAAGGTCCCAGTCAATGCAGAACAATCTATTTGCAGAAAAAGAAAAAAAAAAAACAGTTCAGGGTCCAAAGTCAGTATAATGATTGGGTTGATGGAAAGTTAGTTATTTCAGGTAACACCCACATAATCTGTGCAAAGTACACCTACATAGCATGTTGCCTCATATGCTCTTGGATCTAAAAAAAAAAAAAAAAAACTAAGTGAGAATACCCAGTGATTACCTGTCATATTACAACACTGCCCACCTCATAATAACACTGCCCACCTTAATAATAATCCTGAATTGGGCAAATGCCTGTGATGGCCACTACCCATTTCTCCTGTGGACGGCAATAATATAGTGTTCTAGGAGGTATCCAAGCCCCATAGTCAACGGATTACAGATTGAGGAGTGGCCCATTACTCTGCAAAACAGATGCTACACGTGCAAAGTGGTCCAAAGACCATTGACGCATTCCATGTCTCCTGGTATCTATGTATATGTTAGGACTTGGGGATTCCAAGCAGTGCCAGTGCAAGGATTTTTGGCTACACGGGGAAGATGCATTTTGCCCCCTCTCCCCCCAATGCATCTTCACCTCTGTGTCTCGTAACCCCCCTTAAGAATTTCTTACCCCCTTTTGTGTTTCCCCTCGCTTAAATGGCTTACCACTTTTGTGTCCTACACCACATTTAGGGTTTTATATGCCCGCTTTAGTGTGTCTTACACCCACTTGTGTGTCTCTTACTTCCCTCCAGCCCATTTCTGTGTCTCGTCCATATAGACATACATATAGAGACAGTCATGCAGACATACAGACAGTCATACAAACAGTTATACATGCCATCACAATTACATACCTACATTCTAGTCCTGTGCAATAAGGTTCCTAAGAATCATGCTGTCTAGCTCTGATCTGTAGATCAAATTTAGTTGCCCAGCCACATCACTATTACTTAAGCAGCAGTATATGCAGGGGATAATTGTTGCATTGTTTGGGAGGTTATGACTAATGTGGGGAAATAGGGGCTGTGATAGGGGTAATAGTTGTGATGGGAGGATAAGGGTTGTGATAGGGTTAGGGGCAGTAGTGGGGGGTAGGAACTGTAGAGGGGATTTACTGGGAGTTAATGGCTGTAATGGGGAAATAGGGACTGTGATGCGGAGGTAGGGGCAGAGATGGGAGAGGAAGGGGCAGAGGAGATAGAAGCTGAGATTAGGGGTGGGGCTGATATTAGGCTCATAGGGAAAATTGGGGGAGTTAATGGTCAAGATAGGGTGGATTGGGGCTGCGATGGGGGAGGTAGGGGCCTGAGGTGGGGGACTTAGGCTGATAAAGGGGAGGTGGGGCTAAGATGGAGTTGAAATGGGGCTTATATGGAAGATAGAGGCTGAGATGAGTGAGGTACGGCCTGAAATGGGACTTATAGAAGAGATAGAGGCTGGGGGATTGGGTTTGAGAAGGGGGAGGTAGGGCTGAGATGGGGGTGTTGGGGCTGAGATGGGGGAGGCAGGGCTGTCTTTAATACTGATTGGACCCTGGGCAGGTATTTGATTGGGGCCCCTTGACCTAGCCCTTCCCCTTCCTAACCTGCAATCACGCCATCAACGCCCACAAAAAAAAAGCATACTTAGCCCTCTCATTTCTTCCTCGACAAAATACACACACTAACACACATACAGATGCAAACAGACACACAAGTGCATACACATACGGACACACAGAAACACATACTGATACACAGGGTCACAGAGACACATACAGATACAGAAACACACACATACAGACATTTTATATGCGTTTCCTACCTTTGGAGTGCAGTAGGCTGGCTCAGGCTGATAGGAGTCAGAGCTCCCACTCTGACTTCCTCCTTTTCCTCTCCTCCTCCCGCGCGGCGATCGGTGAATGCTGGGAGGAAGTGACCGGCTGACACCACTACAGGGGGCCTGGTCGCGCACTCAAAGCGGCTGGGCCCCTGAAAATCCATTACCATCAGGAGGCCATTAGAGCATTGGCCACCCGATGAGCCTCCACATCGCGTGGTCCACGGTGGTAGTTCCACGCGGGCCGCACGCACCACAGCAGCCGGGAGGGCTATGGGGGCAGCTGCTTTGGGCCCCCTAAGACTGACTGGGCCCAGGGCAGCTGCCCCTTTTGCCCCACGTTAAAGACAGCCCTGGGGGGAGGTAGTGGCTGAAATGGGGCTTATAGGGGAGATAGAGGCTGAGATGGGAGGTTGGGTTTGAGAAGGGGGGCATAGGGCTGAGATTGGGGGGGTTGTGGCTGAGATGGGGAGGTAGGGGCTGAAGTGGGGCTTCTGGAGGAGATAGAGGCTGAGGTAGGGGGTTGGGGTTGTGATGGGGGATGTAGGGGCTGAGGTGGGGGATTGGGACTGATATGGGGCATATAGGGGAAATAGGGGCTGAGATGGGGAAGTTACCTTCTGAGATGAGGGAGGTAGTAGGGGATTTGGGCTGAGATTGGGGAGTTAGACATTGAGATGGGGAAAGTAGGGGCTGTGATGAGGGTTTGGGGATGAGAAGGGGGAGGTAGGGGAGATAGAAGCTGAGATGGGGTGGTTGGTGTTGAGATGGGGGAGGTATGGGCCTGAAGTGGGGGATTTGGGCTGAGAAGGGAGAGGTAGGGTTGAAATGGGGCTTATAGGGGTTGGGTTTGAGAAGGGGTTGGGGCGGTAGGGGCTGAAGTTGGGCTTATAGGGGAGATAGAGGCTGAGATGGGGGAGGTAGGGCTTATAGGAGAGAGAGGCTGAGATGGGGGAGGTAGGGCTTATAGGAGGGAGAGGCTGAGATGGGGGGGTGGGGTTTAGATGGGGGAGTTAGGAGCTGAGGTGGGGGATTGGGACTGTTATGGGGCGAGTTAAAGGCTGAGATGGGGAGGTAGGGGCCTGAGGTGGGGATTTGGGCTGAGA